CTACAGACACCTATAAATAAACACACATCTGTACAGACACCTCTACATACACACACCTCTGTACAGACACCTCTACATACACAAATCTGTACAGGACACCTCTACACATTACACACACATCTCTACAGAACTCTACATACCCAAACAAAAACTCTCACAGACACCTCTACAACAACACACACATCTCTACGGACATCTCTACAGACACCTCTACATACACACACATCTTACAGGGAAAATCTACATACATACACCACACCATCTATACAGACACCTCTACATACATACCACATACACATTCTACAGACACTCTACATAACACACACACATCTCTACAGCACCACCTCTACAACAGACAGACTACACAATTGCTACAGGACACCTGCTGACAGACAACATTTACAACACATCGCTACAGACACCTCTAACATACATAACATTACACATCTCTACAGACACCTCTACATACAAACATACAACCACACATCCTAAGGACACCTCACACATACACACACACAAAGCTCTACAGACACCTATACTACACACATCGCTACAGACCCCTCGACATACACACGTTCTACAGACACCTCTACATACATAACATACACAACATCTCTACAGACACCCTTACATTAAATACCAAACACACACATCCTCTACAGACACCTCTACATACACACAATCTCTACAGACACTCTACATACACACACATATCTAAAGACACCTTACTCACACACATCTCTACAGGACACCTATACATACACACACATCTCTACAGACATCTCTACATACACACCACATCTATACAGGGGGACACCTCTACATTACACACACCACATCTATACAGACACCTCTACATACATACACACACATGTCTACAGAAACTTCTACATAAATTACACACACATCTAGACAGACCAACCTATACAACACACCATATCTCTACAGACACCTTACATACATAAAATACACACACAACACAAATCTCTACCAGGCCACTTCTCTATATAAATACACATCTGTACAGGACCCTCTACATACATCACACCACATCTCTTACAGACACCTTCTACATACCTAAACATCTCTAAAGACACATCTACATAACATACAACCACCACATCTCTACAGACAACTCTTAAATACACACAAATCGGTACAGACACCTCTACATACATACACCACATCTCTACGAACCTCTCCATACCACCACAAACACATCTCTACAGACACCTCTACATACACACCTACTCTACAGCACCCTCTAATAAACACACTCTAAGACACCTCTAACATACATACACACACACCACATCTCTCCAGACACCCGTTAATACATTACATACACATCTCTAAGGACACACTCTACAAACATTTACACACCATCTGTACAGACACCTCTACATAACATCCACACAATCTGTAAGAACATCTACATACATACACAAACATATCTACAGAAACCTCTACATGACATACACATCTCTACAGACATCTCTACAGACACCTGACTACATTTACACACACATCGGTACAGACACCTCTAATCACAACACACACATCTCTACAGGACACCTCTCTACATACATTCACACACACAATCTCTACCGACACCTTACATACAAACTAATCTCACTAGACCAGACACCTCTACAATACACATAACACCTCTCTATAGACACCTTCTACATACAAACACACCACACATCTCTACAGACACTCTACATACATACACACACACATCTCTACAGACATCTCTACATACATACACACATCTCTACAGACACCCTCTACCTACACCCACATCTCTACAGACCCCTATACATACACACACATCTCTACAGACACCTTACATCCACAACATCTGTACAGAACCTTCTAATACAACACATTGTACAGACACCTCTACATACACACACATCTGTTACAGACAAAACTCTACATACATACATACCACAATCTCTACAGACACCCTCTAACATACAAAATCTCTACAGACCCTCTACATACATACACACACACTCTCACGGGACATCTTACAGACACCTCTAATACACACAACATCTATACAGACCCTCTACATACCTACACCCACCTCTATACATGACACCTCTAATACATAACAACACATCTCTACAACACCTATACATACACACACACACATCTCTACAGACACCTCTACATACATACATACACACAATTCTACAGAACACCCTTACATACTACATACCACACATCTTACGACACCTCTACATTACATACCATTACACACATCTCTACAGACACTCTACATACAACCATACCACCACCTCGCTACGACACCTCGACATGACAACACACACATCTCTACAGACACCTCTACATACACAACATCTTACAGACCCGCTACATACACACACCTCTCTAAAGACACCTCTTACAATACACACATCTCTACAGGGACACCTTTACATACATACCATACACACATCTCTACGAAAACCTCTACATACATACACACACACCTCTCTACAGACACCTCTACATACCACACACATGCTCTACAGACACCTCTACATACACACACATCCCTAAAGAAGACACTCTACCATAAACCACACATTCGACAGACACTCTACATACACACACATCTCTACAGACATCTCTAACATACACAACATCCATACAGACACCTCATAATACACACCACACATCTATACAACAGCCAACCCTACATACATACACACACATCCTCACAGACACCTCTACATACATACACACACAATTCTACAGAACTCTACACACAACATATCTCTACAGACAACTCTACATAACACCACAGCATCTCTACAGACACCTTTGACATACAATACAAAACATCCCTCTACAGACCTCTACAGCATACACACACTCTCTACAGACCACCTATACATCACACACAACATCTCTACAGACACCTCTACATAAATACACACAATCTCTACAGACACTCGAACTACACACACATCTGTACAGACCACTCTACTACACACACACATCTCTACAGACACCTCTACAGACCTACACAACATCTCTACAGACACCTCTACATACATACACACACATCTCTACAGACACCTCTAACATACAAAGAGCTCTACAGACAAACTCTAAATACACACACACACATCTCTACAGGGACACTCTTCATCGTTACACACCAATCTCTACCGACACCTACATAAATACATTACAACACATCTCTACAGTCACCTCTACATAACATACATACATACACACATCATCTACAGACCACCTCTACAGTACATACAGAACACACATCTCTACAGGGACACATCTACATTACACACACATCTATACAGACACCTCTCCATAATTACACACCCATCTCTACAGACCACCTCTACATACGTACACACCACATCCTCTACAGAAAAATCTACATACATACAACACACTCTACAGGACACCTCTACATACACACACAAATCTGAAAGGACACCTCTTACATACATACATACAAATCTCTACGATTCATCTACAGACACACACATCTCTACAGACACCTCTAAATACACACACAGCTTCAGACACCTCTTACATAAACAAATCTCTACAGACACTCTACATCCACACCATCTCTACAGACACCTATACATACAACACATCTCTACAGACACCGCTACCACACACAAAATCTTAAAGACACCTCTAAATACACACATCTCTACCGACAACTCTACATAATACACAACACATCTCTAAAGACACCTCTACATTACACACACAACATCTCTACAGACAACCTCTACATACAAACAACAAAAATCTCTGACAGACCCTCTACATACACACACACACATCTCTACAGACACCTCTAATACATACACACACATTCTCTACAGACCCTCTAATAACACACCATTCTACAGAACATTACATACACACAACACCTCGCTACAACACCTGCTAACATACATAACACACATCTCTACAGACACCTCTACTACATACCACACATCTTCAGACACACTCTACATACATACAAACACATCTCTACAGACACCTCTACATACATACAACCATCTCTACAGCACCATCTACATAAACACATCTCTACAGACACCTCTACAACACACACATCTATACAGAACACCTCTACATACACACACAATCTCTACCGACACCTCTACATACATACATACACATCTTACAGATTCCTCTACATACACACACATTATACAGACACATCTAAATACACACACATCTCTACAAGGACACCTTCTACAACATATCCACAGCTCTACAGACCCTCTACACACACACACATCTCTACAGACACCTTCTTAAATTACATACACACCATCTCTACAGACATCTTACATAACATACACATCTCTACAACACTATACATACCTACACACATCTCTACAGACACCTTACAGACAACACATCCTCTACAGGACACCTTCTACATACATACCACAACATCTCTACAGACCACTCTACGGACATTACACCACACATCTCTACAGACAATCTACATACCTTTATACACAAATCTCTACAGACACCTCTACATACACACACATCTCTACAGACACCTCTACATACACACACACATCTCTACAGACACCTCTACAAACACACACACACATCTCTACGACACAGTCACACACACATTCTCTCTTTTGTTGTGTGTGTGTTTATCAATCTTTTTGTGAATTAGCTCCATCAAACACTGAGTGCGGTCATTATCACAGTAAAGCTGAAATCTATAATAACTAAATGAGTCTCCATAATCAATGAGGCATTAGATTAGTTATTGAACTGTAGAACTCCAGGGTGGACAACAATGACTTATGAGATGAAGACTGAAAATGTTTGATTATTATAAACCAAAGTACTTTATGCATTCAAATAAATAGATTCAAATGTGGTTAGAAGTTTGTGGACATGGCATTGATTCAAAACTTATTTTTCTTTTGATTATTATTCGGCCTTTTCTTCGTCCTCTAGCTCCTACAGTCATCTCCTTCTCCTTTGATGTGGGGAATGGTCCCGTGGAATTGGCCGTCCATTCACCCACGCCCCTCAATGACGACCAATGGCATCGGGTCATGGCAGAGCGGAACGTGAAGGAGGCGGTGCTACAACTGGATCTGAACTATAGGGAAGCTCGTCCCGCCCCTCCACAGGGACACACACGGCTAGAGCTGTTTAGTCAGCTTTATGTGGGTAAGAGAAAAAGAGAGATACACACACACACACACACACACACACACCAACATAAAAATAGTACAATACTGTACTATTGCATTTACATTTCATTCATCAGTCATTATATTTTAACTTTGCAAAGTTCAATAAGTTGGCGATATAGTTTGTGCCAGTATAACATTATGAAGACCCACAGTGTCTTTATATTCCCTTAAGTAGGTTCTCTGAAGCTTAGACACGACTGATGATAATGAAGATAAGACATCACACTGTTTCACACACACACACACACAAAGTTAAAGAATTATGTAAAACTAACCTAATTCACTTAGCCCTGACTCTCACTTTATGACCGTGTTTGAGTATTAACAGTTGCTGAGGATTAAGACTTTTCAACTGCACACAGAGACAATGAATTGTCCTCATTATGCCCCACAGAATGGCTCGACATTTTCATTGTGATATTCCTCCGCTCCCTCTCTTCTCGACACAATGACTGTGAAGGTCATTAGGAGAACAGAAGTTAAAGATGGCTTTATCTCTATCTCTTCTTTTCCCTCTATCTCACCCTGCTTTATATGGCTGCGGACCTGCCAATACTTTAACACTGACGACAGGGAATAAAACTGGATTTAGGATGGAGGGAAAAACTGCTGAGCTTGAATTATATTATATTTCCTCCTTACTCTTTCTCTCTCTGGCTCTGAAAAGGTATTTTTCTCTGAGAAACACTTCTAAATTCCAATCAGACATTCCAAAGTCAGATAGTTCTGAATACCAAAAACACATTTTAAATTCCATCGTCTCATCAGTTTTTGGTGGTTTGGATGGAAGAACATTATCACATTGCAGATTCCTGAATGGCCGTTGAGACTAATAAAGTTGTATTGAATTGAATTGAATTGAAGTAAATAGAATCGGTCCTTATATGCCACCGTTAACCATACAGCCATACAGGAAGATATTGATTTGTGATGGGAAACTTTAATACCAGCTTATAAAGAGTGATAAAACTCACAGTAGACTTCTCCCCCACTATCTCATCTGCATGTACAGTAGGTTTCAGGGGAACCAACTCGTTGAATTACCCGTCAGGGATCAATCTATCAATCTAATCGACATCAGATCATCAACTTAACACAATCAGTTCTTCCATCACCTCCATACAGCCATGGGACCTATTGGTTTATACTGGATCAGAGAGCGGTATAAATCTGACTGTGTGCTAGGCTAGGCCGCTGCCTCTCTAGTAGCTCATCTGCATGTGTCAGAGCAGCGAGGGTATTTGCCTGGTCGGGGGAAATTGAATCAGGCTCAGATGGGATCTGCAGTGGGTGTGATTTGCATTCTAAAGCTGGTGTTTAAGCACAGAGGTACAGGGGAGAACACACCCCAATATCTCACTTAGGTGGTCCCTACATTATCTCGATTATTTAGAGTTTATATTATATGTTATGTTTAAAATGTTATATCATATTGCATTATTTCCTATATTTTCTGCATGTTTTCGCTCACTTTCTCTTTCATTTTCCATGTTTTTCCTTTCCTGTTCTCTTTGTTTCTCTTTTTTATTCATTCCATGTTCTCCTCGTCTCCCGTGTGTGTGACGGGCTCGGTCACTGCATGTGCATGTGCGTGTGCATGTGTGTGTGTGTGTGTGTTTGTGATGCAACTGTCACAGGGAAGCCAGCTTCGTTGACCTGCCAAGACAGTAGGTAACATTTAATAAAACTAGATACATAAATATGCATGATGATTTTCAGTTCATATCCATGCAGTCTTTTCCCATTGACATTCATACAGTGCCACTGGTAGTTATTTTGGACTGTGTCCATGCCTGCTAATGTCTCTCCTGGCCTTGGTTTGCTTAGTTTGGCTCAGAGAAAGAAGGTATTCTAGAGGTCCACACTGGCCTAATGGATGGTGTGAGTGTATGTGTCCCTCTAGGCATTGCTGTCCTAATGAATATAATATGCTAGTTCATTAGCACATCATTACAGAGTAATTTACCCTATGGAGACAGAGAGAGGCCAGGAGGAGTGCACCACACACACACACACACATATACATACATACACACACACACAACACTGATGTGGGCAACTCCAGTCCTGGAGGGCCACAGTGTCTGCCTGATGTAATCTCTACCTTTTAATCAAAGCCTGATGTAGACCTGGGTGTGTGATATCTCCAGCCAATCAGCCACACTAATTGATCAATTAAGTGCTAATGTTAGGTTAGATAGGGCTGGAGCGCCTCTCCTCTGGTCTGTTAAATCACTGTGACCATCAACTGTCATATATCCCTAACTCAACCTCAAGGGAAATTATCTCTATTCCTATTCCAAAAAAGTATCTCTCTCTGTACTCTCTTCTCTCTCTCTTTTCTCTAGGTGCAGCGGGGGGTCAGAGGGGGTTTCTGGGATGTATCCGCTCCCTCAGGATGAATGGCGTGACCCTTGACCTTGAGGAGAGGGCAAAGGTGACATTATCTTTTATTTCATCATCTTTTTTTAAAAAGTTGTCTTTACTAACGCAAATTAAGAGCATCCAAAAGTCAAACTCTACCTTTCTCTCTCTCACCATCTACCTCCCTCTCTCCATCTACCTCCCTCTCTCCCCCTCTCTCTCTAGGTAACTCCAGGTGTAAAGCCAGGCTGTCAGGGTCATTGTACCAGTTATGGGATGTACTGCAGGAACGGAGGAAAGTGTGTGGAGAAATATAATGGCTACTCCTGTGACTGCACTGCCACGGCATACGACGGACCCTTCTGCACTAAAGGTGAGAGCTAATCGCTGAACGCTTAAATTACTGCTAGGCTGTTGGACGGTGTAACCAGCAGCCTCGTTTGCAGAGGAACTACAACATTTACTCAGAAGTAAGCGTTAGTTTCTGTCAGTCGCAGTGAGACTTCATAGCCAGAAAGTTGATCCGTGACACATGAATTAATTTGTTTTCTAAACTTAAGCTTGTTTTCCTGTGTTCTACACCAGGCAGGGGTGACGAGACAGGGGAATATGTGTCAGAGGATAGCGGGAGGAAGAGAGGGGGGATAGAGGGAGGAAGAGAGGGGGGATAGAGGGGGGATAGAGGGAGGAAGAGAGGGGGGATAGAGGGGGGAAGAGAGGGGGGAAGAGAGGGGGGATAGAGAGGGGGGATAGAGGGAGGAAGAGAGGGGGGATAGAGGGGGGATAGAGGGAGGAGAGAGGGGGGATAGAGGGGGGAAGAGAGGGGGGATAGAGGGGGATAGAGGGAGGAAGAGAGGGGGGATAGAGGGGGGAAGAGAGGGGGGATAGAGAGGGGGAAGAGAGGGGGGATAGAGGGGGATAGAGGGGGGGAGGAAGAGAGGGGGGATATAGGGAGGAAGAGAGAGGGGGAGGAAGAGAGGGAGGAAGAGATGACTGCGTGTGGGAATATGCAAAGAAGCTGACATGAAAGTATCTCCCCAGTGTACCCCCTATTTGATACATACATAGGAGTGTGTGTGTGTGTGTGTGTGTGTGTGTGTGTGTGTGTGTGTGTGTGTGTGTGTGTAAAAAACTGAAAATGAGGTCTTGAATGTAATGTAAAATACTGTGTGTGTGTTTATTTATTAACATGTGTGTTATGCCCTTCAGATACCCCAGAGGACCTTCTCCTCCCTCTGTTCTCCTATCTCTGTCATATGTATGAGTGCAGTCATAATTGCGATGCGTATTTCCATTATATTCATATTTACACCCGACTCCTGAGGTAGAATATTATTATCCCAACTGTCTCATTCTGCTGCTGCTGCCATACCCTGGGGTCACAGACAGACAACTCTGACTTCATAATGAACAACACACACACACACACACACACACACAGACACACTTACACCAGAGAGTGAGGTTCATACCAGCATCTCCGCTGCCTCTGGCTACAGATATAGCTGTGTGTGTGTGTGTGTGTGTGTGTGTGTGTGTGTGTGTGTGTGTGTGTGTGTGTGTGTGTGTGTGTGTCTCTTCCTCTCTCTAAGATGTGGGGGGCTTCTTTGAGGCGGGGACTCTGGTGAGATACAACTTCCTGTCAGAGACAGCGGCAGCCAATCAGGACACGAGGTTTCTGGCCCAACCTTTGACTCCACAGGAAGTGAATCTGACAAGAGAAGAAGTAGCATTTAGCTTCAGCACGTCCAACACACCGGCTATACTGCTGTATGTCAGCTCCAAGACACAAGACTACCTGGCACTGGTGCTACGGCAGAATGGTGAGACACTGACACGTCTAATAAGACACACGCTCACAGACACACATCGGCTCTGCCGCTCTTCGCTTCTCAGATATGTTGCAAATGCAGTGTCTAAGGTCTCTCCATTTGTGTGTGTATGTGTGTGGTGTGGTGTGTGTGCATGTAGGAACTCTCCAGGTGCGGTATAACCTAGGCGGACTCAAGGAGCCGTTCACCATAGACGTGGACCAGCGTAACCTAGCCAACGGACAGCCACACACTATCAACATGTCCAGAAGCAACAGGACTATCACCATACAGGTACACACACACACACACACACACACACACACACACACACACACAAACCAACCATTCTCTCCGCCATCAAAGCATTGTCTGTGATGATTTCAGACATGTCCATTTTAAGCCACAAGAGGGAGACAAAAGCCTCTAATTGTCTCAGGACTTGAAGAATTGACAATGGCTTGATGCTTCATGGATATGCTGATGATTGACTATGAAAAACCTCCAATGGTTTGCATCATGATCTCCTCTCCCCTTCCTTTCCCCTCCTTCTCTCACTCTCCCCCCTCTAGTTGGACCACTACCCCCCTGTCAGTTACTCTCTCCCAGAGGCATCAGACACACAGTTCAACCTGGTCAAGACATTATTCTTGGGGAAAGTATTTGGTGAGTACAGGCACCTCAAATGTGTATTTGACCCGTCTGCTTGGCCCTGGCAGAGACAATAGGTCTATACAGAGAGCACAAACAGAAGTGTTCAGACCTGTTGTAGTTACGCTGTGTGCCCACCAGAGGGAACTAGAAGACAGTGTTTCACCAGGACACAGTCATGAAGGAGAGAGGTCTACTGTGGCGAGACATATTATATATTTCTAAAATGTTAGTCTGGTTTGGTTTCTGTAACAAGATGTTCAATAGATATATTTTGCTCTAGGTATATGATCAGTTACCTGGCATTACTGGTGTAGTGTGTTAGTCCTGAGCACGTTCAGTGGGGTGCAACCTTACAGAACGTTCAAATAGAAATGTTATGTAGAGCGGACGCTTCTCTGTAGAATAATAGGGATTCTCTATTCAAGACATTTATAGCTGCAACACTCATAATGTTGTGCACTCCTGTACACGACCCTGGCGTAGTAGTATAATATTCCTTACTTCTTGTTTGTTCCCGATCACTGATTTGGTATTCCATAACTCCTGGTTTTCCCGCTCTGTTCTGTGTTGGTGGCAGTCAGTGGGGTAGAAGGAATAGCTGAGTTCACTTCCCAGCAAGAACCATTGATCGATGTACAGCCGACTAATAGCACAGGGAATAATGCCCCTTTCCCTGTCAGACACACTCATACACACATACACACAGCACTTACAGCATTTATGCACGGACGCAGGCACACATGCGCACACACACACCACAGTAACCCCACCTGGCAATGCAGAGCTGCCGTTCAAGGACTGAAGGACACAACAAAAGGCAAAGTCACCATCGCTCTGCCAGTTCACCTTTCCAACAGATAATTCATGCACAATTATGCATTTCACAATATGGATTTATTTCTAGATGGGGTTTCAACAACAACAACAAAAGTTTAACCGAAACTTAGACCTTATATGCAATATGGGCCCCATCCGACCGCAAGGCGCTACAGAGGGTAGTGTGGACAGCCTAGTACATCACTGGGGCTGAGCTCTCTGCCATCCAGGACCTCTACACCAGGTGGTGTCAGAGGAAGGCCCCAAACATTGTCAAAGACTCCAGCCACCCAAGTCATAGACCGTTCTCACTGCTACTGCACGGCAAGCGGTACCGGAGCGCCAAGTCTCGGACCAAACGGCTCCTGAACAGCTTCTACCCCCAAGTCATAAGACTGTTAATCAAATGGCTACCCGGACTATTTGCATTGACCCCCCTTTTCTTTTGCATTGACATTCTTGCACTTGCTCTATGCACACTCACTGGAATCTACCCACACACTCACACATACTACACTGACACACCAAAACACGCTCACACACACAAAACACACACACACACACTGACACATAGACACTCTTCACATACGCTGCTGCTACTCTGTTTATTATCTATCCTGATTGCCTAGTCACTTTTACCCCTACCTACATATACATATTACCTAAACTACCTCGTACCCCTGCACATTGACTCGGTACCGGTACTCCTTGTATATAGCCTCGTTATTAGTATTGTGTTACTATTTCATTTTTATTTGCTTTTTATTTATTTTTCAAATTTTTACTCTGCATCGTTAGGGCTCGTAAGTAAGCATTTCACAGTAAAGTCTACACTTGTTGTATTTGACAAATTAAATTTGATATACAGAAGAGCGTGTCAAAATAGACTTGTATCTCTCTTTACAGTTTAGATCTGACCAACATTCTGACATCACTCAGAACCATCAGTCTTGCTCTCAATACTTGCAATGCTGAGGGAACATTTTCAAAACCTTTGTCCATGGGAGGTAAGGGATTATACTTTATACAGTTTGAGATGCACACACAACAATCTTGATCTGTAGTATTCCAAACTAATCAAGTGCTGAACATTTTACAATTTAGTCACAACTTGGAGATGACCAGTGGGGCTGAGTTTTCACCACTACAGCTAAGATAGGGGTTGAAATATGGATAGAGTTTCTCAGTGAAGTTGCATCCATTGAAGGAGTAGATATGAGACTTGGCCTCCACATCATAGAAGGAGACCTGACCTTTCTCATAATCCACAAACACCCCCACCTTCTGGGGCTTCTCTCTCAGGGAGAGAGGGACAGGGTAGTAAGTGCTGGCTCCATACCCATTCTTGCCATTCAGCCACACAGTCCAGAGTCCATCAGAGCTCAGGTTTGAACTCCCCTTCCTGTCGATGGACTCTCTGGCTACTCCTAGCCACCACCATGTCTTCCCCTTTACCTGCACCTCATAGTAGAATCTCCCAGAGGAGAAACCCTCCTTACCCAGGACAGAGAAACTATTGTTAAATCTCTTTGTGTGATCAAGGAGTTCCTGTCTTGTGTCTCCACATCCCACTTGTTTCCTGTCCTTAGAAAGAACAAGGAATGAAAATGCTGTTCCAGAATCAAGAGTCACATCCACTGCATACTGCTGCATACACTTCAGCTCAGCGTCACACAATTTCTCCATTGCTTTATTGACTTCCTTCTGAAGCTCCGAAATTTCCCTCGCAGTCTCCTTCAACTTAGACAGAGCTCTCCTCATCATGTTGCCCACACACAAATCACTGTGAACACAGATCTGAGACCAGTCCTTGGTGGGAGGAAGGTGACAGAGGGGTGGGGAGCTCTGGAGGAGGTGGAGTTGGTCCTCAGTGTGTGACAGCTGCTCCAGCTCAGTACGTCTCCTCTGTAGCTCAGTGATTTCCTGCTCTAGCTCTTCAATGAGCCCCTCAGCCTGCCGCTGGGTTGCTTTCTGCTTCTCCCTAATCACCTCAAGGAGTTCAGCATGGCTTCTCTCAATGGAGCACACCAGAGCAGTGAAGACATATACGGTGTGTGCCATCTCTCTCTCTGCATCTTTCTTGCTGAGCTTTACTGAGTGTTTGATCTCCTGAACCTTCTGCAGTCTGTCCTGGATCATCTGCTGAACTTCTGCCTCAGTCTTCACCAGCTGAGCCTTCCTTTGTCCAAACTCTTCCTCTAGAGGGACGGTGAGGTGAGTCTTGTGGTCTGTCTCAGTGCAGAACTTACACACACACGTCTGGTCAGTCCTACAGAACATCTCCAGGAGTCTCTCGTGCTTCTTACACATCCTGTCTTCCAGGTTCTCCACAGGTTCGATCAGCTTGTGTCTCTTTAGACCAGCAACTCTATAATGAGGCTGCAGGTGAGTCTCACAGTAAGAGGTCAGACACTCCAGGCAGGACTTCAGGGCCTTGTGCTTTCTCCCAGTGCAGACATCACAGGCCACCTCTCCTGGCTCAACAAAGGACTCATCTCTGTCTCTGTCTCTCATCCTCTTAAAATGATCTGCAACATCTCTGAGTGTTGTGTTGATTTTGAGCTCAGGTTTTCTGTAAAACATATCCTTACACATTGGACACTGACACAGGCCAGTCCTATTCCAGTATCCGCTGATACAGGCCTTGCAGAAGTTGTGACCACATGGAGTAGTGACTGGCTCAGTGAACACATCCAGACAGATACAGCACATTATCTTCTCTTTGAGCAAGAGACTGCGAGGGGACGCCATATCTGGAACACAATAATAGAGAAACCATATATGAACTTCCTGGAAGGACTCGGCTATTCATGGCTTTGTTGACTAAGGGTTAGTTAAGCTGTAACTTTCCTGAAACATCACTACAGACAAATGTCCGCAGTTCACCTCAGCAAAACATTTGAAAACCTCCCTCTTTCACACACAAGGTAATGGGGGTGCTGACAGTTTTAATCAAACACTCAAAATGTGACTGATGATAGCCTAGCTATCTTTTGATTGACAGACAAGCTACATACATAACCAGCTAGCTGCCCAGCTTGTGTTTTTCCTCAACTTTACTCTCATATGCTTGTAAAATTGCAAATGAGCTGCATAAATGTATTTCGCAACTGAACCATTGTGGTAGAAAATAGTTTAAACCTGTCCACCTCTCTCACCTGAGTGTGTGGGAGTTTTCCTGTTTTCTTGTTGAATGTTGGACACCGTGCTGCTGTGTTGTTGTTAGCCTTGTGAGGAGCAGCAGACTTTGTTTCGGTATGCAATGCCCTGCTTTAGTTTACTTTCACTTCAGTAAAATTACATCAGGAGGCCCCTCTCTTCACTGACTCCCTCTTTCCTTCACTATCTCCTTTCCGCCCTCCTTTTCCTCAATCCCTGCTCAGAACTGGCACGTATCCAGAATTTCCAGTTAGAAATGCAGAAAAAATTAAACTGATTATACAGGGTTAAAATAGAGAGAGAAATAGGAACTGCAAATGTTAGAAAGAGTTAGCTACCTGCCCAATTTATTTTCCTAACTCTTACAAGTCTCAACTTAGGCAGACAAGTTTGTTTTCTAGCCACAAGCATAAACTAGATATCTGGGAAGGGATCATTTGGACGACTGACTGACTGAACCGAATCCGTTCGTCTCCACTCAACTCTCGCTGCGCGACATACATTTTGGGCACCAGGCATGTCCGTATAGCCTCTCCCTTGTTGACTCATGGCGCTTTCAAGACAACTGGGAACTCGAAGAAAAAAAAACTAGGTCAAATCATGATGTCGGTGATCTTCAGGTGAGCGCTCTAGAAAGATGCCAGAGTTTCCGACTTGGAATTCCGAGTTAGATGACCGTTTAAAATATTTTTCCCAGTCAGAGTTCGCAGTTGTCTTGAACGCACTGAAGTCGGACATTTCCAAGTTCGCAGTTTTGAATGCGGCATCAAGCTAAAATGTAGCTTTCATGAAACGTCACTACAGACAAAGTTCCACAGTGAACTGATGATAGCTAGCTTGTTTATGGTTAACAGCCACGCTACATACATAGCCAGCTACCTGCCCAATTTATTTTCCTAACTCTTACACTCATATGCTTGTAAAATTACAGAAAATAAACTACATTTCTGTATTTAGCATCATCTGTGATTTTGCCTTTTTACTGTGTTTTCTTAAATTTACCATTCCACCTGATTTCAATGTAGTTTGTAGCCAAATTACCACCTGTATCACCTCTTCTGCAAGATGTTTTGGGATCAGTCCAACTATTGTGTAAAGG